CGAAGCGCTTTGCGTTACTGAACTACGGTTCGCTACTATAAAACTATTTAATTTAATAAAAGTTATATTTAAATTAAAAGTCTTAAAAGCAAAAGCAAAACTTGCAAAGCTATCGAAACTACTTTTAAAACCTTTACTTTTACTCGCTAGACCGCTCGGACCACTAGTAGCACCTTTTAAAAAAGTAGTATTTAAAGCGAGCTGTTATCGTATAGCATCTCGAAGACTTCGGCAAACTCTTTATATAATATTATTATCTTTAGCGCTTACGAAGTTATCGAAAGCGGTATTAGCAGCGGCAAAAGCAGCGGTGCAGTTGCTATAGCTACTTTTAGCACATTAAAGATAGCGAATAACGCTCGTATCGCAATTATAATAGTTTTTATTAGACTCCGATGTAATTTTATTATTAATACACTTGATGCACTTTAAAGCTTTGACGGTCGTTAGCATAAGCAAGCGCTTAATAAAAAGGTTTAAAAGAAAAAGCGAAGCTTCGAAAGTAAAAGTGCGTAATATAACCGCCGCAGCCGCCGCAGCTGCAATAGCAGTAATACTTAAAGCAAAGAAAGGATTCTCTTAATAGTTAATATAAATATATTAATCTATTAAAAGCATTTACTTTTAAACGGCTTCGGCCGCGCTTAACGATTTTATTAGATTGAGTTACTTGCTTAAAAAGCATTATATAAATAAATAAAAGTTAAATGTTTATTATAATAAAAAAGAACGCGCTTTTACTTATATAGCAACGCGATAAAAACGGCGCTAAAAACCTCCGTTACGTAATAAGACCGATTTAAAAAAAAATTGCATTTTTAATTAACACTTAATTCATAATAACAACCGCTATTTATTTATTTAAATTGCGATAATAATCTTTTTTATTTACATCGAGTTTAAAAAGCTTAATCACTTATTTTTTTTCTTTTCTGTTTGCTTGCAGCTTAACAGTTACGCTGCTAACTTAAAAGGTGTATTGTGCGGAACAAGCATAGTTCTACTTAAGCTATATATGATATATTATATGACTTCGCTTAATAGCGCTCTTAGCACATTAAAGCTCTTAAGTACATGTACATAGATCTTAACGAGCTTCTTAAATAAAATATATTAAGCTTTATTCAATCTACAGAATCTCTTCCTGATCTTAATGCTAATAAGCACTACACTTTTTAAAGCACGAGCACTTAAAACCTTTAGCAGGTCCTTTAGAGCTATCGGAGCGTTTACCGGACTGCTTAAGAGCAATGTCGTTAGCCTTATCACCTCCGGAGGTGCTGCGAGTAATTTGATCTTCGAAAGTAGCGAATACGCTAAAGAAGTTAGAATTCGGATTGCTAGTTTTTTTTTCGATTTGGCTTTCGTACTAGTTAAGATAATCGTAGAAAGTGCGCTTTTAAAACAATAACAGCTCGTCGTTTCGAATGACCTTTGCGAGCTTTAGCGACGCTTAAGTTAATAACTATTTTTCGTTAATAGCTTTTAAAAATACTTTTATCGCGAGTATACTCGTCGTCTCGTAAAAGTTGTTCATCTTCGTTAATTTGTAAATAGCTCGGTGTTCTTTAATCTATACCGCTAAAGAGACGCTCTTTTACTTAGCTGCTTGCAAGGATTTGTTATAGTCTTATACTATCGATAGCTTAAAGCTCGAGTCGGATAAACGGTATATTTCTTAAAGCTTTTCTATTAAGAATTAGATAAAAGTATTATCTTCTTTTAAAGCCGTTAAGATCGCTTCCTCGAGAATAAAGCTCTTAACCGTCTCTTTGATCTAGTTTATGATTTGATTGCTTTTGTTACTTAAGACTTTTTAATTGTTTATAACGAAGTTGTATTCTTTTATATTATCGTTATACGCTTTTCGGACGTTTTCGAACTTAACGTCTTTTAGCTTTAAAAGTCTATTAAGATCGTTTGCAAGAGCTCTTAAGTGCAGTTCTTTTTAAGCTTTTCGTTAGCGGTCTTACTCTTAGAACTATTCGTTGTTAAGCTCCGTTATTATCTTTATAACAGACTTCGTTTTTAGTTTAATCTGCTCGATAAAAAGAGCAAGTTCTTTTACGCTAATACGAAAAGATACGTATTATTTTATGCTAAAGCGCTTGATAAAGTATTTATAATTCGTAATTTATCTTAAGAAGTCGCTACGACTTATAAAGTTCGTTTTGTTAATTAAAAAGACCTCTTTTACTTTGTCGTCTATTATTATAACAGTTGACTTTGTGATTAGAGCTTTTGAAAATTGGTTAGAGTTCTTAAAAGTAATAAGTATTGATTATAAAAAATAAATATAATTGAAAAAAGACAGATTGCAAAATGAAAGTTGTAGTAAAGTAGCGTTAAAATGACTTGCAGAATCCGCTCTTAATTAATTCGGAGGTTGTTAAAAACTAACTAAATAGCTCGTAAGTGCGAATGTAGCTCTTAATTGTAATGCTTACTAGTACTAAGATCAAAAAGAGATTCTGTAAATTGAATAAAGCTTAATATATTCTATTTAAGAAGCTCGTCAAGATCTATATATATATACTTAAGAGCTTTAGTATGCTAAAGGCGTTACTAGGCGAGGTCATATGATATGTCATATGTAGCTTGGGTAGAACCATGCCTGTTCCGCACAACAATCTTTAATAAAGGCTATCAAATCGAAATCCTCCTCGACCTGTTCGGGGAACAGACCGAACATTAATAAGGGCGAATCAGAAGTTCTCTTTAGCTATAAGTATAGACTTCTCGCTCTTTTCCATCTTACACACCTTCAATCCTACCTAAGTAAGCCCTTGTGAACCCTCGTCTGATTCGTCTAACAAATAGAAAGAAGTCAGCCCGTAAGTAAGTGAGCAAGTAAGTAGGTGTATCACTCGTTTTATGTACGTCTTGATTATATACTCGACCAGGTCTCATACTCGACGACGAAGTTAGAGTTAGATAGATGTAGATGTACGCGTGTCATTCTGTCTTCCGGCCTACTTACTTGGCGACTGATTGACTGACTGACTGACTGGGGAATGCACGTTTCGGAATCTTTTCTTTTTGTGTGTGCGAATGATTATTGTAGCTTTTGGGATTATGAAGGGGAGAGGAGAGGGGAGGAGAGGAGAGGAGAGGAGAGGAGAGAAGAGAAGAGAACGGTTCGAACCCCCTTTTTCTTCAAGTTTTTTTTTTTTTTTGTCTTGTGATACTTTTACTTATCTCACCTACGTGATCTACTTGCTCTACTTGTTCTACCCTGCTTTTGCTTTTACTTATTTATTTATTTCATAAGCAAGTAAGCAAGTAAGCAAGCAAGCCCTCCCGCACAATCAGAATCAAAATCAATCTAAATACTGAGAACCCTAAAAGCCTTAACGTATTAAATCCCCCACCCCCACTAAACCACTAAACCCCCAGCCTCCTCCCACCCCTCCCCGCCATCCCAAGATACAAAATCCAAAATCCAAAATCAAAATCCAAAATCCAAAATCACTAAAACACACACACACACACACATATAACGCTAACGCCAAGAAACAAAGCAAACAAAGCAAAAGCCAGCAAAAGCCAGCAAAACCCAAAAGGAAACCACACACAAGAACGCAACGCAAGAGAAGCGAACGAAGCTCAGCACCCGACTCGAAACTCCTCGCTGCAGGCCGCTATAGTGCGTGCGTGCCGAGAAGGGGGGCTGTGATGACAGCGAAGATGAATACTGTTCCGCTTACTTGCTCACACTTAGCTGACTGACAGTTTAATTAAGTAAAGTAAAGTAAAGTAAAGTTTAGTAAAGTTTTGACTGATAAAGAAGTAAATCGATCGATCGATCGATAGATAAAGAGAAACGATGAATAATAGAACGATGGATAAGATAGATCAATCGAGATTGATGAACAGGACAGCAGAGGCGGAAAACAAACAGAGAGAGATATCGAGGTGCATCTGGTCGAGTTTGATATAGGTAGATATCCATCTGACGTGGCTTGACTTGATCTGGTTTGATCTTATCTTATATTATCTTATCTAACCTTACCTGATATTATCTTATCTTATCCAATCTTATATTATCCAATCTAATCTTATCTAATCCAATCTTATCTAACCTCACCTCACCTCACCTAACCCAATCCAATCCAACCCAATCCAACCCAATCCAATCCAACCCAACCCAACCCAACAAGCACAAAAAACAACAACAACAACAAAAAGAAAAAAAGCATCAAACAAAACACAACTCCAAAAAAAGAACATGAAAAAAAAAGAACGTGAAATTAACATCCACGTTTAATAAAAAACAAATAAAAAAAAAGAAAAGAAAGAAGGAAAAAGAAAAAAAGAAAAAATAGAGAGACTTGGATAAAGAGAAGCAGCAGGCTCGGGCTAGAGATAGGTAGGTAGGAGTCGGGAGGGCTGGCTGGCGAGCTAGCTAGCTAGGAAGCGAGCGAGAGCGAGCAAGAGAGCAAGAGAGCAAGAGAGCGATAATAATAATAATAATAATAATAATAATAATAATAATAATAATAATAATGGCATGCGGTGGTTCAAGGAGGTGAGGTGACTTCGCTGCTGCGCTTCGATGCTTTGTAGGTAGGTTAGAAGACGATCGTCTGTCTTCCTTGGCTTGGGAACAGTGTGCATCAAGATTCGACGTTGGCCATAGGGTAACCTTAGGCAGCTCATTGTCTTTGGCGTTTATTCACGGCGCCCGGGGTCAGTGGCTGCGGGCTTGTCTATCCAAGATCACTTCCTACCGCCAGGGGTCGCCGTCGTGTGCTCCCACTTCATGTCAGATGTGCAACATGAAAGCCCTTGCGCGGCGCAAAGAAATGTGGTGCCTACCTACCTGCCGTGCCACGCGAGCAGCGCGCACAACATCTACCACAGACGGGAGATCGTGGGAAGGGGACGAGGTGCCCAATTTCATTCATTCGTATTCGTATCTAGGGATAACCAGCCCATCATCGCTATGCCAATTCATGTTCGTCCGTCCCCATCACAAGATGTCAAAACAATCCATCCTATTAAAGCTCCTCCGGCGTACTCCCCCTTCCCGTTAACGGGCCCGCAAGTCCCAACATTCTCCGCCCCAGCAGATCATCCGAACTAGCCAGTTTAACCATGCTCCTCTTGCTCTGCAGGCCTGCCTTCTTCTTCCCCTCACTTCGTTCCCGCAGCTGCTCTTTCAACAGATTCTCCTTCCTCTTCCTCTCATCGCCCCTCCGCGCCGCCTCTCTACTCTTACTCTTGGCAGTCATGCTCATCTCCAACCCCATATCTTCGTCGCCCGAACTCTCTCCCGTCCTCCGCCGCTGATGGTGCACGTACCCGCCCGGGGTCAACACACCACCACTGCGTTCCCGCTCCTCGGAAGCCGCGAAGATGTGATCGATCCAGCGGGAGCAGCGAAAGATGTACTTCCAGCCCTCAGGGAAGGCGCCGACGAATTGCAGGAAGCCGTGGGAGATGCCCGGGATGAGCACCACTTCCACGACGTCTCTATCGTCGAATTCCCGGTGCATTCCGTGCGTGGAAGCTGGTTCGGCGAGGTGGTTCGCTTCTTTCGCGCGTCTCAAGCGGCCGGCAAAGATGACGGTGTCGTCGACCAGCGGGTCGCGCTCGCCGGTGAGGAGGTACGTCTTGGGGAACTGGGCGAGCACGGCGTCGGGGGTGAGGATGGGGGAGAGCAAGTAGTCCTGTGAAAAGTCGGGGCGATTGTGTGGCCCGATGTAGAGGATGATCATAGCACGCATCATTTCGGGGGTGAGGATGCGGTCATTAAAGTAGGATATCATGCTGGACATGGCGAGGCGCGTCTTGAGGGGCTCGGGGTGGTGTGATGGAGAGCGTTGCGGGGGCGCGTCCGTACGGGGAAGCCCGGGGGAGAGGACGGTGGGGGCGGCCGTGGAAAATTGGGGTGTGGGCAGGCTGATGGCGAGGGGTGCTGGGCTGGCGGTGAGAGGGGGCGTGGTCACCTTTGGAGGCGTTTTGTCCTCGTCTTCGGAGTGGTGGGGGGTTCCGGCTGCCATGTTGTATTGCATACTCTTTTGCCGAATGAAGGTCCGGTTGGTCTTTCGAGACCGTCGATCTTTGATCAACGACATTTGCTCGTCTGACATCCAATTCCCGATATTCATGTCCAAACCGGGGTATACCAGAACCAGGCCTTCCGGGATGGGCAGGGAGCGCTGCCCGAGAACCTGCCGGCCATTCGTCGACCCGGCCTCGATGATCATGACGGTGAGCGCCGTCGCCAGATTCCCGCCGGCGCTGTCGCCTGTGATCACCATCTTCGGGATCACCTCGCCTGACAGGCCCAGGCACCGTCCTCGGCTCGCCATGATGGTGCTGTAGACGTCGAAGCACTCGTTCAGCGCATACGGGTATGGGTATTCGGGGGCTTTGCGATAGTCCAGACTCAGCACGGGTAGCCCCGTCTTCCCAGCCCACGCAAACAGCTTGTCGTCGTTGGTGCGGGGATCCATGGCCACGAAACCGCCCCCCGGTATATCCAGCACCACCTTGGTGTGGGTCTTCAAGGCGGAGAGGGGCCCGTCGAAGTACAGCCAGCCGCTGACCGGCTCCTTGTAGTCGGAATTGGGGGGTCTGGGGATCCGAATCTGCCGCGGCGGGTATCTCATGAATCTTGGGCGCATCAAGGTCGTCAAGAAGTTGAGGTAGGGCGTCGTCCCCTTGTTCCAGCTCACCCTCAGATGCTCGACGGTCAGCATGCCCCTGACCTTCCTGACCTTCTCATCGGCCTGCTCTGCAGCAATGAGGTAGTAGACCGTGAACACCACGCTGGCCAGGTCGCGCAGCCACTTCCTCTTGATGCGCATGGCGGACCAGAAGCCGGCGTCGAGAGCGATGGTCACCCATGTGGCGCGGAAGTAGGAGCGGGTGTAGAGGTTGGCGAGGGGCTCGGGGCATTCGAGGCCCAGGAGCTTGCCCAGGTTGCGGGCGACGTAGAGGTAGAGGAGGGTGACGACGAGGGTCTGCCAGGGCGTGAGGATGGTGGAGAGACGGCGGGAGAGCTTGCGGATGGTGGGCGGGCCATGTTTGTGGCCACTTGCAGCGGGGGGGGGCGTTGGGTTAGTCGAGGTTGGAATTGAGATGTGGGGTGTGGAATAGGAATCGGAGTAGGGATGGGAAATGGGGGAATAGATGGGGATGGAAGATGTAGGTAAGGGAGGTAGGTAGGTAGGTAGGTAGGTAGGTAGGTAGGTAGGTAGGGAACAGTACCGGAAGAGATAGAAAGACCAGAACGAGACGACGGCGAGGACTTGAATCTTGCGAAACTGCACCGAGGGCCGACCCAGCACGTGATCTGGCAGGCGGGGGGGAGGGGCGATTAGCAGAGGAGGGATATCATGAGTGGATGGATGAAGCTGGAGTTGCGTCTCGAATAATTCATGAACTTGGGGTATATGGTCTTTGCTTACCTATCATGGTGATGGGCACTTGATCCTGTAAGCCTGTAAGGAGTGGGCGGAGATATTTGTCCAAGAGAAGAAGAAAGAGAAGAAGGAGGAGAGGGCGAAGGGAGAGGAGGCTTCTTTCACATGTGAAAAATAGTAAACAAGCTTTGCCTCTCTAGCCGCATGCTGGGGTGCTGGTTGTACCGGTAGGCGAGTGCAAGAGGTCGGTCGGGTAAGAGTCGGGTAAGAGACGGGTAAGAGATGGGTCAGAGACAGGTAACAAAGTACAAAGTATCAATGCTATACAGAGATAGATGGGTGCATGTAGGTGGAAGGTAGATAGAGGGATCGATGAGGTGGTGATGTAGGTGCAGTAAAGGTGCATCTGTATGTACGCATACTATGTATGATCCTGCGTTCTGTTCCTGCGGCGGACCAGATGTACAGAGTATGTGCGTCCGACCCGAGGAATGGGAGGATGGGAGAATGGGAGAATGGGAGGGGCACAGCACAGCACAGCACAGCACAGCACAGCACAGCACAGCACAGAGATCGCCGGAAGATGTTGGTTGGCATGTGACCATGGGAGCTGGCGCGGGCCGTGGCAATCGCACGTGACACCGCGGACGAGATCATGTGATGGCCTCTCGCAGGATGCACACGCAGCCAGTCAGCTGACCACAGTCGCATCAGATCAGGTCAGCCTCGTCTGTTGGCAACGTCAAGGGGCAACGCAACGTCAAGGGGCAACGTCAACGGCCAACGTCAACCCCAACCTCCACCTCGAAACTCGGCTAGCTCACAGGGGGACCGGACCCTGAGGAAATACTACCATACCGAGGTTAAGCCGGCCCGTTGTCGAGATGGGGAAGTTGAGCCGCGAGCCATGGCAGGGGAAACGGGGCGGTGTGAGGGAAACATTCTTTCTCGTCCCTGGTTTGAAGTTTCCTCCTGGCATGGGCCCGCGGGATGCTGACTGATGAGGATAGGATACGGTACCTAGGTTGACATGGCGAGGCTCCGAAGTCTTCTACGTACTGACATGCCGACCTACCGGTACCCTACCTAGGTACCGGTCCGGTACCTGCCATCTGTCTTGGGTTGACTTTCATACTTTGGCAGCATGACCGAGTCCCGTACCGGTACATGTACTACTACCGGTAGTCCAAACGTTGTGGCGGGCGGACCTACCCGACATGAGCCGCCGCGTGGCCCGAGCCGAGCCGACCCAGGCCTAGAGCAGATACTAGTACGTACTACGTTGAGTGGGTAGGGAGGTAGGGAGGTAGGGAGGTAGGGAGGTAGGTACCTAGGTGGGTAGTTTAGTAGTAGTAGTAGTAGTAGTAGTAGTAGTATTTGTACTTCTACGTAATACTACTTACTCTCATTTACAACGACCAACTACCTACCTCCGGCCTTTGAGCATACCATAAAGGGTAGTAGGGGGTCATTTGAACGGTCCTCTGATCTTCTTTTATAAAAGACGGCTATTGGACCGCTTAAATTCAGTACTAAGCTCTTTTCAAAGATAGTTTACCGAGAAGACCGTCTTATTGAAAGGGACCGTTTTGTAGCCGTCTTATAGCCGTCCTCGTTCAGATTTTTAAAACAAGCTAATCAAAGAGCTTGTTTTAAATAATTAAAACAGTTTATCAATTATTTTAAATAAGAAATACTTAAAATATAAAAACTCTTCTTATAATGATATCGTTTTTATTAATAAAATGATCCGAAGATAATATTAAATAAGCTATAATTAGTACGTAGAACTGCGTTTATCAATGATACCGTTTTAATTAGCAGAACTACTTTTTAATAGTCCGATCTTAAGTATCGATTTTCATATCAATTGTTTTATTAATATATTGATCCGATTATAGTTTTAAGTAAGCTATAATTAATACGTAGAATTGCGTTTATTAATGATACCGTTTTAATCGACAGAACTACTTCTTGACAGTCCGATCTTAAGTATCGATTTTCATATCAATTGTTTTATTAATAATTGATTTGCAAATTGTTTTTTAATATAAAGCGCGAGAAACTATATTTTTACCGCTTGTAATCATAGTTTTAATAAGTACATTTATAATAAACAAGCAAGCAATAGCTTATAAGTAAACTCTAGCTTTAAGTATCATAATAACATTAGTACGCTTTTTTAAAGTATTTAAAACGCTAAAACATTCTTACGTACCTTTTAAAATCAGACTTGCTTTTTTCGTTAGATAAAAGTATCTAAATAATCAATGCTTCAAAAGTACTTAGCTTAAATACTTTATTAAGCTTTCTTAGTAACTTAGATACACTATACTAAAACAACTTTATACTCCGCTATCTTGCAACTCATTCGAATATATTAAGCTCGTCGATATCAGACTTAATAAGCTTCTCGCTAGCGTAAAGCCGTTTTTTAACTTTTAGTGTCAGCTTAGTCTTTTTGATCTTCGGCATTTGCTTAGTCAATTTAGCAAGCTTCTCTTTAAATGACCGCTCTTTAACTAAGAATCGGCGGTCTTCGATAATCGTAAAGGTTTAGATAAAGTCGATGAGTTCTCGATCTGAATTTCTAATCGCAAGCCGAAGATTTATCGCTAGCTAATCGATATAGAAATGAATGCGCATGCAAAAGTTAGCGTACTATTCTTTTATATACTATTTAGCTGTTAGTTTGCATTGTTTAAAGTCTAACTGATCGGCGGCGAAATATATTATATATGCGAAGTTTTTTTACGAAAATGTCTTTTTATAATAGCTCTTGATTGCTATATCTATACTTTTAGTAAGGCTTGCTAGCATTTAAGTGCCTTTCTCGGTCTTATCGAATTCTCGCAAACCTTTAACGTAGACTTAAAGACATTATTAATTATATATATGAATTAGCAGATATATATCGACTTACGATTGCGTAATCTTTTATCCGATTCTGTATTCTTCGATATATAGACAAGACTCGCTCTTTTATCAATTGGTATAGCGGACAAGTTCGATCGGCATTAAGCAAGATTAACTGCGTAACTTCTTCGTGATTTTTGTTATTTAAGGTCTTTACAAAGTCTTAGTGTATACGTTATATCGCTTTATCATATAATGATTTCTATGTATAGCCTCTTAAGCCGATTGCCTTTAGATCAACCTTAATAAGACTTAGCTTTGTTAAGCGTTTGCGTTTTTTGCTCGCGAGAGATTCGATCTCGAGTATCTTTGTATCGGCTCCGTTGCTTTCGTAAGTAGTCTCGTCTTCGCGCTGTCTTTTATCGTTTGCAATCTCTTTATTTTATATAAATTAATCGCAAATAATAAATAGAATAATAAGCAAACATACCTCATTTGCTATTATAGCTTTGATTTCGATACATTAGCTAAGTGGCAAACGATTTGGCTAGATGATATAAGTAAGGAATTAAAAAAGCTAAGGAAATACCCGTCTGCAAGTTATTAAAGTACATTAGCTTGTTACAAACTTAGCATTCAGCTTCATTTAAATATTTTTATTAAATTTATATTAAAAGATATTAGTTATTATTCTTTACTATTATATTTAATTCTAAATAATATTGCGTACTATACATATTATAAATTTCGTATTAATGCTTAACTTTAATACAATTTAATTTTCTATTTTATCGAAAAAAAATCTTGCTATTACTTACTTTTATCCGGTGAGCCGGCGGCAGCCGACTCGAGCTCGGAAGTGCGATAAAGCAAGATTGAAAAAAACGGTAAAAAGTCGATTTTTTTAAAAATCAAAGGTTTTAAATTGAACTTTTAATTCTTTTTAAACCAATTAAAAACAACTATTTTTATATCTACAACCAATGTCGCGTAAAGCGGGCTTCTTAGACCGGCTAAGCACTATTAGTCCACCTCTTTCGCTTTTATTATAATCTTTTTTAAGATTTCTTTTAAAACCTCTTTTAAAACCTCTTTTAAGACCTCTTTTAAGACCTCTTTTAAGACCTTCAGCTTTTCTACCTCTCTCTTTTGTTTTTAATAAAAGCTTCGGTACCTAAACATACTTCGACGATAATAGCGGACTTGATAACAATAAAGAAAGCTAAGCTTAGCGTCTTATACTTACTATAGCTATTAAAAGCGTCGAGAGAAGCATTGAGCATATGCATTCTATAATAGCTATAGCGGATATACTTTTAAATAATATCGAGTCGGATAACAGGTCGAGCATATTAATAGACGAGATCGCGGAAATAAAAGCTACGCAAGAAGTAAAAGAGATTGAATTTTTAAGTAAACGTAAGCTAAACGAAGAACTCATCGATAGTGCTTTTGCAATACGCTCTTTACTTCTTATAGAGCAATTCTTTAATAACATTGATAACGGTTCAGAACTTATACTATATAAGCAAAACAAACACAATCTATTAGATAATTAGTTTTTTGCTCTTAAAATATAATATAAAGCTTTTTACGTATCTCGGAAACAATATAAAGCGCTATTAAAAGCATTCAGAGTAGTCTCGGATATCAAACAGCTTTTAAACTTTCTTGCAATCGTAAAGACGTTAGTTAAACAAATCGAAGCTCAACTTCTTTTGCTCGCTATGCGGAAAAAGAAAGTAGCTTTAACGCTTAAAAAGCTATCTACTCTCTCCGCGATTAATAAACTAGATCTCGGACGGTCTTTTGCTTATAGTTAGATGTATTAGTTCGATCTTATCTGTTTGATAGTTAAGATATTAAAAACACTAGCAATCGTTAAAGCTATGCATTTCGGTTTCGCGGAATTTGTAAACGAAGCGATTGAATATTAGCATTCTATGTCTTAAGCTGCTTTAATGCGATCAACTTGTAAAAAGCATGCGAGACATAAAGATAAGAGTAAGATTTTTCTTAATAATATAGTCACTTATATATGCCGAATGCTTTAATGCAAGTGTAGCAGCGAAAAGTCGTATATAAGACGAGTATCTGCGGTCGGTATCGATAAAACTTTAAAGTCTAATTATAAAAGAAAACTCACACTTTTAATCTAGCGAGCAGCTCTTGAAGCTTAATCTTAGAAATATTTAAATTATTCGATAGTATAATCGCTATTAGAAATTAATAAGTTAATCTTAATAAAAAACGCTATTAATTAAGTACTAGAAACCGATATTATCGAAGTTTTATATGATTTCTAAGTCGATTATACATTTGCTACGAAAATATCTTTTGTTTAGCTTTTGCTGTATTCTTTTAAGCGCATTCGCTGAATCGCTAATAGAGTTACGAAAAAGATTCGTCCGATTGTTTTATCAAATCTAATTAAAGCTGAATTAGAATTTAAAGCTTACGGCAAAGATTAGTTCGAGAACTTAAGCTTTGATACTCTTTTTATCTCGATCCTTTGTTTTATTAACGGGTTCGGTTTATATCGAAATATGTACAAGAGCTTGATCGCCGTTTACTTGATCATCGCTAGCTTGCTTCGAAAAAAACGAGCGAATCGTGCTAATATACTACTTTTAACACTTTGCCTTTATAAAAGCGATTTTAGTAGCGCTATTATTAATATTAGCTTTATGCTTTTACTAGATAAAAGGATTATAGTTTCCGTTTAAAGCTAAAATAAGCGATTATATATATAGACATTGAACTATTTAAGCGATATGCTTTAATAAAACAAGAATTCTAATACTAAATCATAATCTGCAAACGCAAGCTATAGAAACTGCTTTATCATTAAAAAGCAGCGTAAAGATCTAATGTATAATATGGTTTTTAACGGCAAATACTATTACTATCTTATACAACTTCGAAAGCATAGCGAAAGCTTAAGCAAGACTGCGTATACTAAACATTGTATCGAATTCGGACTTAACGAAGAATTAACACTATTAGTTACTATGACTTTTGTATTAGATCTGGTCAGAACTCGCTTTATAGACTTTGCTTATTTTAAATTTAAAAGTCAAGCGAAACAAGCTCAACTGCTTTTAATCGAAGCTATCTTAATACTAGAAGCTGTTAAGCTATATGCTGTTAAGCTTAAGATCTTTTCATTTCTTAAAAGATAAAGTAGATTATAATCTTTTATCAAACACTTAAAGTCTTAAAGGATAAGTGAAGCTAAACGTTTTATTATCATTATTACTTTGCTTTTAAAGTGCTAATTAAAGATCGAGCATATTCGACCGCTTTTTCTTTAAGCTTTAATGCGTAATCACGCTGATTTGCGGACGAATAAAAAAGCGGTTATCTTTATTATAAAATTCTTTAAGAAGCTAGCATTAAGTACATCTATTATACTAAGACTTGCCGTTAAAATCAAATACTATATTACGCTTCTTAGCATCGTTATAAAAGGACGCTAAGCTTATTAAGATATCTGCGAAGCTACTGCTTTTGCAGCTAGCTAGAAAACTAAAAAAAGATCTTTTAGTCGCGTTATTTCAGCTTCATCAGCTCTTTCTTAATCAGATATAAGATTTGAATTTGAAGATGATAAAGAAGTGCTCGCAGAGTTCGATGATTCGCACGAAGTCTAATCCGGAACTAAAGCTAAGAAAGCTGTAAAGTATAAAAGCTTTAAGTCTAGATTTAACGTGTATTAAGCTTATTATATAGTAAATCTTTTCCGTAAGTACGTAACGCTAAACAACTGCTAAGTTCTGCAATGCGAAGATAAGCATTAGTATATTATATTTAAAGATTTGCATTTGAATTGTTTTAATTTATTATACAAACTTTATAAGTTACTTGGTTCTTTAAGCAATAGCCGCGCAGTCGAAAAGGTTTTATTAAAATATGAAAATTTCTAACAAACTATAAGATTGATTATTAAAAGTTGCTTTGCTAAATCCGATACATACGTAACGGCATAAATCATGCGCTTATATAGAACGTACTTTACTACTATCGATACTTTCTTACCGGCTTCTAAACAAACAAAAGAAGAAAAAGAAGAAGATTTTGATAGCTTTGATTTGATAGACGATTCTAATTACAAGGCTTTACGCATTTCTAAGCTTATCAAAAAGATATTATTATAATCGATCAAGCTGCTAATCTTTAAGAACGAGCTGCAAGATCGCTAAACTAGCAAAGACAAATCGAAGATAACTTATAGATTACGAGATGCGTATCGGCGCGAGTATCAAAAAGATCATATCATAATGTTTAAAAGCCGAGCGCTTTAATAAGCTGAGAAATTAAGCTAGACAAAACCGTAAGTAATATGATATTTATATTAATATTAAAGTCTAATATAATATAAGAAAAGCAAAAAGCGCTTTACGGTTTCTTTAAGAGATATTATTTAAATCATAAGCTACGAGATCAATTATATACGAGTTAATGCTGTTTTCGTTTATGAGCTTTTAAAAGATAACAAAAGAGCATTTTTTTTAATAGCAGATCTTATTGAATACTTAACGAAAGATAATATCTTAAAGCTGCTTCGATACGCTTTAAATAAAAAATAAAGGGTTATCGGACTACTTGCTTTCGTAAGCAAAAGTGTTTATATAATATCGAATCGAATTTCTTCGAAGTTCATATTAAAGCAAAATGCATTCAGTTAAGAAGCAATTGGTATAGCTATATAAAATGAGTTCTTGCATTGCATATAAGAAATTGATTTTATATAAATAAATACAGATTGCAAACACGTTACGTTTAAAATAGAGCGTAAGCTAGTTAAAACGCACTTTATATTATATAAAGCTTCTTTCTTCATCTTCATCTTTAACAATTCTTTTATTTTTTCGATATTTATCTTCATCTTTTCTTATCATTTGTTTTTTTATTTATTACCGATGACTTGCATAATTAAATATTAATGCTATTGCTCGAAGTTTATTTGCTGCTTTCGAATTCGAAAATATTTAAGTGCCCGCTAGATGCCCGTTGAGTGCTTTATAAAGTGTCGACATCGAAGCTAGGCAATTGGTTGCGATAGACTAAGATAGCGATCAACGGTTAAAATCGCCTTTTAAAGCATACCTTTTAAGATTTTAGCTAAAATGCGCGATTTCTCGTTTTACATTAAAATTTTAGTATAGCTTTCGCTTTCTATTATCTTTTGATTTTTTTTAAAAACTTTCAGTCCGAACTAAAGAACGCATTTTGATTTTAGTATTTTCGTAAGTCTTTGCGTTTTTTTTTTAATATCTTTTAAGATATTCTTATAACTCTAATCTACCTCTTCTTTATTAAGCAGCAGATTCCTTACTAAGCAGCCTCTCTTTTACTAAGCAGCCTCTCCTTTACTAAGTAGCGGATTCTTTACTAAGCAGCAGATTCCTTACTAAGCAATAGATTCTTTACTAAGCAGCTTCTCTTTTACTAAACAGCGGATTCTTTTTAGTAAGCTCTCTTTATCCTTTTGCCTTATTAAGCAGCAGATTCTTTACTAAGCTGATTCCTTATTAAGCAGCCTCTCCTTCATTAAGCAGCCTTTCCTTCACCAAGCAGCGGATTCTTTTTAATAAGCTCTTTATCCTTTTGCTTTACTAAGCAGCAGATTCCTTACTAAGCTGATTCCTCATTAAGCAACAGATTCCTCGTTAAGCTGCGGATTCTTTTAAGTAAGCTTTCCATCTTTTTATTTTACTAATTTTGCTAACAATTATACTTCAAGCAGCTTTTTTCTCGACTTTACTTACGATACGGCTACGACCGAGGACTTGACGCACAAGCATATAGCTAAGATTGATATTATATAAAAAGAAAGAGTATTTAAAAGTGGCGCGCGTAGTTAGTAAAGCATAATTAAAAGGCAGCGAGTGCAAAGGCTAGCTAAGAAGCAACGCGTATAAAACATATCTTTCAAAGTAACGTAACTTTTAGTAATCTATTTTATATGCTTGTTACTTTAATGAAACGGTCAAGAACTATAAAATAGTCGAGGTTTATAATACGATCGAGCTTATAAGACGATCGAGCTTATAAGACGGTCGAGCTTATAAGACGGTCGAGCTTGTAGGACGGTCGAGCTTGTAAGACGGTCGAGCTTATAAGACGGTCCTTTTTTAAAGACGATATAAAAACAATTATAACTTATGATTAATTCAAAAGAAGTATAGTCTTAACATCGTCTTTTTATAAAAAGATAATATCATTTTCGAGATGGTTTATATATATAAGATCGTATTATTATAAATACTATCTTTTTAATATAAGATTATTTCACGATCGAGATAGTTATAATTTTAAATTGTTTTATTATAAAAACGATTTAAACTATGAATTATATCTTTTTAAGTATCATCTTTTTACTATAAGACCGTTTTGTTAATAAAATGGTTTTCTAAAGAGACTAGCGCAAGTATATAACGATTCAGATAATAAACTATATTCATTCAGTTATAATTTAAATTTTTAAAATAATCTAATTACAGATTTGATTTCATTTTAACTATAGACCTGGGGTGATCCACCAGCCATACCAACCTATTAAAATCGTCCCCTAAAGAGATGGTTATCGGACGATCAGCTGACCGTCCAAATGCTCCTGCATTCCCCTTTAAGGTAATCTCCATCCACCCATACTTTTCATATACTACCACTACTCGTTGTATTTATATCTCGCTTCGTCATTACTGTACTGTATCTCCTCCGGCCCCCGCCAGTCCCACTCGATCTGGCCATTGACCACCCCAGGGCCGGCCCCACTCGATTCTCCATCAAACACGAAGCGCTAACTACTTAGCGTAACGTGCCCGTCCCATCCCATCCCATCAAACGGCCAAGTCCTGCCAGCCGGAAAACTCCTGTCTTCTCTTCGGCTTGGCCTAAAACCCACGACGTTCCTTTTTCTTTTCTTCTCTCCCTCTCTCCCTCTCTCCCATCCCATCCTCCTCCTCCGGATCACGACACAAACTCGGCCCGTTCCATTCGTCCTGTGCTAGCGAGCTCTCTCCACAGTCTCTCGTTCTCGGGTCTTGATCGACTCGGAATCTTATCCTCCCTTCAATTTGGAAACTTGCACTTTGCAGCTCTCTCATCCACCTCTCCCCTCCTAATCATCCTCTCTAATACTCAACCCCCCCCACCCTCATCGTCCAACTTCTTCCTCCCCGCGAGCCAGCAGTTCACCATGGCAGATGAGATAGTATCGACGACCGCGAGAGCAAACCATAATGGCGGTGCTGGCGCTCGAGGCGCCGCTACGTCTGGCAGTGATGCTACTCCCATCGTTGAGAAGCCCGTACCGCCGCCCGCTCATAAATCCCGACATTCAACGTGGACGAAGGACATGAGCGACTTCCAGTCCTCCGGCACCCCGAGCTCCGTAAATGGCACAAACAGACACAGCAAGATGATGGAACTCCATACCTCGGTCGATCTGGGAGACTACTTTGTAAGTCCCCCGAATCCCCCCGCATCCTCCATGGGCGAAGAATATGCAGCTAACCATTCAAACCCAATAGGTTGGCCCGCGAAACATGGATAGCCACTCCAAGCTACCCTACTTCATGCGCCTTCATGGCTCGGTCACGCCTCGGATGCTCCTACCGCTGGCTCTCGTGGCCGGCTGGTCCACAGCAATCACCTGCATCTCGAAATTCGTCTATCCCCGTACGTATCCTACCCTCGATTGCCCACCTACGCTCCCAGATTCTACGCTCGAGAGTGCCACTTAGACTCCATCCTTCCTCAAGAGGCATCTCATGAAATTCCATGGCTCCTCCGCTCCCTGTCCTACCTACACTCCTTCCCTCCCTCCCCTCTGTATCCCATCCCCCTCTCTACCCTCTCTCATCCCCCTCCCCCCCCATACCCGTCTCTCTCTAACACAGCCCAGTCATGGTCAACTCCGTCCTTCTCACCGTATTGGGTTTCGTCGTGGGTCTCGCTCTCTCCTTTCGCAGCACCACCGCCTACGAGCGTTACACCGAGGGTCGCAAGGCCTGGGCAACCCTCGCCGTGCACGCCCGCCACCTCGCCCGCAGCATCTGGGTGCACATTGATGAGCGTCCTGAACAGGCCAAAGAGGACCTCCTCTCCAAGGTCACTGCCATAAACCTGATACTGGCTTTTGCCGTGTCCCTCAAGCACAAGCTCCGGTTCGAGCCCTACGTCCACTACCCAGACATCCACTCGCTCGTGTCCCACCTGGACACCTTTGCCCTGGCAGCGCACAAGCCGGAAAACACGGTCGAGGAGAAACATTCCCCGTGGAAAGCAGTGGGTATCTACCTTGGCATTTCTTTTGCCGAGTCCAACCCCCGAAAACTGATCAAGCGCGCCGACCGTCCGCTCGGAAACCTGCCCCTCGAGATCCTCACCTACATCTCCTCCTACATCGAAGAGACCAGCGAGAACGGTACCCTCAAAAGTCCCGTGGTCACCGGCGCACTCCTCAGCACCATGGAGACGCTCACCGACACCCAGGCTTCCGCCGAACGGGTTCTGACCACGCCCCTGCCCGTCGGATACAACATTCTGATCTCGCAAATCGTGCTCCTGTACGTGTACCTGCTACCGTTCCAACTGTACTCTACGCTCGGATGGATTACGATACCCGGTACCATTGCCGCCGCCTACATCATCCTCGGTCTCGCGGCCATTGGATTCGAGCTCGAGAACCCCTTCGGCAACGACGTTAACGATCTCCCGCTCGACTCGTACTGCATGGACCTCGCTAACGATTTGAACGTGTTGACATCGGTCCCCGCGCCTCGCTTCAGCGACGTGGTCAGGGGGTGCGGCGGCAACACCGAGAACAAGGTCCTCTGGCCATTGAGTAACAGCGGCTTCGATGATTGGGAGGCTCGCACGGTGCAGGACATCAGGTCGGCGCTGAAGGCGAAGGTAATGGCCGCTCGAGGCTGTTGTGATAACGGGTCAATGGACGGGGACACGCTCCAAGCCTGATGAGAAATCGGAATTCGATCCCTCCCTCGAGTTCATACTTGAGGACTGAGAGGACATTTCTGATGGATTCCGCCATCTATTTTTCGATACTATCCTGTCTTCTTTGGTTTCATCTCCGCGCTCGCCGCATAATTGGTGGTCCAAAAGAAATTGACGATACCGGCGTTAAAATGTCTTGTTTCTAGCCTGTTTTATTTTTCTCTGCTTCCGGCCCCGCCTTGGGGGCGAATGGATATCACGACAAAATCACCTGCGCCGCATTGGGAGGCGTTTGTAATTAGATGCTTGTTTCTGAATGTATGAATGTCGAGACAGAATGTCGAGACCAGTTGGAATCCAATTTTCTGCACACACCTGCCCAAGAAGAGGGGGAGGGGAGCTTACGAGTGTGCCTTCTTGAACGATTACGTTTATATTCCCCTATGCGTCACGATCATCAGCTGTCTGCTCTTGGAAAGGATCCGTCTCAGTAATAAGTAACTAAACGCAGCTTTCTTTTTACTCTTAGGAGAGAGAGAATCTTTTGAGAAAGAAAAAAGCTGTTTCTCTTCCGTCAAGCTATACACAATCATACATATACATACATACATACGTAGAAAGGGGGTCTCGGCTAGCTAATTACGGCCCACTTACGTATATGTATTTGTATATAGTTAATCAGAAGCTTGTGCGGGTGGAATTGGTGATTCCGGTTCGTCGGAAACAAAACCATATCGATGAGTTCTCTCTCATCTGTTTTTATTTCCAGATCTAGGAATGGATTTTTTTTGGTGGGGGGGCTATGGCTGGTTTACAATAAATGGAGATGCTGTCCGGGAAAGGTCGGCATATCGGCAGCCTCTCCAAAAGGGATAGTTTAATGCCTTAGATCCAAGGAGTAAATCAACGTCGCGCTAAGAAATAAATTGTGGATCTCACCTCAGAGCTTCAAAACCTCAAAGCTTCATCCGAACATTGACGTCCAGCTTGCAACCCAAGACTCCCCGCAACGGCCAACACACATTTACGGTTACATGTACCAAGGAACGAAGGAATACAGGCGCTCCCACCATCTCCATTGACGCTCGCCGTCAGACCCACCACCACCACCATGCCTCTGTTCGCCCCCTCGCACCCCCCTCTCACCCACCTCCGCAGCTTCTCCAGCAGCGCGCGCACGCTCGCCAAATCGACCAAGAAGCGCCTGGAGTACGAGCACCGCGCGGTGCCGCCCTACCCCTACGGGCCCTCGCACATCTACAAGCAGTCGAACTTCGGGCTCTACGGCACGCAGAAGATCCGCTTCGGGAACATCGTGTCGGAGAAGAACGAGATCAAGACGCGGCGGCACTGGCGGCCGAACGTACACTCGAAGCGGCTGTGGAGCGACGCGCTGCAGCGCTACCTCCGGCTCCGCATCACGACGCGCGTGCTGCGCACCGTCGACAAGGTCGGCGGCCTGGACGAGTACCTGCTCGGTGAGAAGGCGGGCCGCCTGAAGGAGCTGGGCATGGGCGGGTGGAAGCTGCGCTGGAGGATCATGCAGACGGAGCGCGTCAGGGAGAGGTATCGGAGGCAGCGGGAGCTCTTGGGATTGCCGCCGCTGGAGGAGGTGTGGCGGGGTTCGGACGGGGGGCAGGCGACTGAGCAGCAGGTTGCGGATGAGATGCGGGCGTTCGATGCCGGGTTGGAGACTGGGGAGGAGATCGAGGTGGTGGACGAGTCGGGGGCAGAGGCGTCGGCGGAATCTGACTTTTTGCGTGAGGAGTCCCCGAGGCGGAATGTGGTGCTGTAGGACTCTCGATTTGATTTGTACCACCACGACGACAATTGTATGAACATGTGTTCTGATACGCAACAAACAATCCCTATTGAAAAAAATAAAAAATGGGTCTCTCCGCTGGGCTCATGTTCTATACTACCGCCCGATCCAATTGCAAAAGGCATGGTATTCCTTCAAGTAGCACGGTATACATACACACCTGTTTCTGTTTAAAGCAACACCGAAGATCTGTCTGTTACAATATATATATACCCTCCCTGCTGAATACAACACTCCTGAGTTCCCATCCCATCTCGCTCGCCAAAACCTCTCTCTCTCTAGCTACCTCCATACCTACATACCTATCCTCTAACCTCCCCCTTCTCTCCTCCATCCTTCAACCTCCAACCTCTAACCTCCCCCTTCTCTCCTCCATCTTCCAACCCCTATCCTATCCTATCCTCCCCCTTCTCTCCTCCAACCCCACCCCATCCCACCCCATCTCATCCCATCCCAAGCCAAGCACCCAAGCACGCAAACGAAGAAATCAATCACATCAACACTCTCCTCTCCTTACCTCTCTCTCTCT